GAGTGAAAGTTACAGATGCAGGCATTATATACTGACACATAATGCCTGCATCTGTAACTTTCACTCTATGCATCCGAAGAAGTGAGGTTTTTACTCACGAAAGCTTATGCCCAAATAAATCTGTTAGTCTTTAAGGTGCCACCAAACTCAATTCAGTAGAAACTTGTTAGATGTATAACATCATTACATATAAAATGTGTTTTAAACTGGTCTATGCCTTAGCAGGCAATCCATTTAGGAGATGATCAAGAATAAATCAATGCCAGTTTTGCTATCTACTTAAATGGCTGTAGGATCACGCCTTTAATCAGTTTCTTCATTGGAGTCAATCTTGAATTCCTTATTTCAGTTGACCTCATTGGGAGATTAACTAAGTAAGAAGTGAAGAACTGAGCCCATTTCAGCCAATAAATGCTAAAAGCATGTTTGTTAATGTAAGTGGTTATGTACTTAATATGTGATAGTTCTTATGAGTGAGATCAGCAAATCACTTGCCACATCATTGAACAGCAGAAATCAGATGATGGCAAACTTTGGTGACTACTGCCCTGTGCTGGATTTGAACCAGTGACATAGGATCCATGTCTCATCAGCAAGCCCCTGAACTACCAGTCACCCCAGTAAAGATTTATTTGCCATTCAGTATTGAACCCAATCAATCTGAATTGAGAACCATGGAAGCTATTAGGTGCTGAGCACTTGAGAAAATCCAGCCACTTCACTTAGGTACCTAAATGGGAGTTGAGTACTTCTGAAATCTGACCCAGATTGCGGGTGCTGAGCATTACTGATAGAAAATCTGGCCCTTGATTTTCCCCAGTACCAGATATACCTGTGGGCCAGTACTGCTGCTGCTGCTTTAAATAAATTAATGGAGATATCCCATCTCCTAGAACTGGAAGGGACCTTGAAAGGTCATCGAGTCCAGGCCCCTTCCTTCACTAGCAGGACCATGTACTGATTTTGCCCCAGATCCCTAAGTGGCCCCCTCAAAGATTGAACTCACAACCCTGGGTTTAGCAAGCCAATGCTCAAACCACTGAGCTATCCCTCCCCCCAGGGTATCTTCTCAGTGTGGGTGAGACACATTTGAATGTTGTATTGAAGAACCAGGAAAAGATTCTATAAAAACTTCTTGTTTTAGAAGTGAAAAAGGAAATGGCAAAATACAAAAATAAATGGTCACCATCCACTTACCTGGTGTTATCTGTTAAAGCATACTGGAAACAAACAGTACTACTTTTGGCCTAGGAATTTGTGATAGGTTTATTAGGAATTGGGGAATCTTTTGGGGAAAGAGGAGCCTATATAGGAAGGATGGGCTCCACCTAAACCAGAATAGAACCAGATTGCTGGCATGTAAAATTAAAAAGGTCAGAAAGGAGTTTTTAAACTAAAGGCTAGTGGAAGGCCAAAAGGTGCAAAGGAGCACATAATTCAGACAGAGAGATCCCACAGAGAGGGGATCTATTAATGAGGATTCTCAATATCCTAGTAAAGAGAGGATAGAATTTGATAAAGTACAGGTAGAAACTGAAGAGAAACAGTCAAATGAAAAAAAGTGTCCCATTCAATCACATCACATGAAGGCAGACAACTAAAAAGTGACAAATTTTAAAAGTGTTTATATACAAATGCTAGAAGTTTAAATATTGAGATGGGCGAACTTGAGTGCCTGGTATTAAATGAGATTATTGATATAATAGGCATCCCAGAAACATGGTGGAATGATGACAATGAATGGGACACTGTAATACTAAGAATTACCTGCTTTCACAGCTAGAAAACAAGAAGAGGGTGAGATGCTTAAGGCAGCTGGCTTCTATATTTTATAGGTTCCAAATGCGAATATGAGTTTGTAATCTCTCTCCACCTCCCTCCCTCTTTTCCAGTCTGCTTCAAGACTCTGCTCCATGATGTCTCTAAGGCCAGCCAAAATTAGCCCATTTATAAGCTCGCTCATTCTATAGTCGTTGCTATAGTTTTTCCATTTATCTTATCCCTGGAGTCATTTAGGATTCTTGATGAATTATTTATCAGCATTTTTACTGTTCACTTTTGACAGGCAGATAAAATAAGATGTAAGAAGAAAATAAGTGATGCAGGTCTTCGTTTTCCCCCAGTCTGTGGTAAGGGGAAATGGGAGCCAACAAGTACATGTACAGTGCCATAAGTCCATCCTAAAAATAGCATAAGCAAACTTTAGCTGCAGCTACACACAGGCACAGCGATCACAGATGGAAAAGTCTTATTAGGTTATCTAGGCCATGCCACAAGCTTGCTTCCTCCAATACTTTGTTTTCTCTTGTTTTAAATGTCTTAAACAACTGGGCTTCCACCACTTCCTTTGGGAGACTGTTCTACAGCCAACCAATCTCAGTGTCAGGAAGTTTTCCCAATATTAAGCCTAAGGGGTTTTTTTCAGTTTCATCCCATTTCTCCTCACTACCTTAAATTACGCCACCCTCATTGCTTATATCCTTCATTATACTGGTAATTGTTATAATGTTTTCCCCTTCATCATTGTTTACACACACACAGCTCTTTGACTCATGATGAAAATTTAAATCTATTTTTGTTGCTCTTGTCTTAACCATCATCAGGTTGCAAATATTTTACCAGTAACGAGGTGCCCAGACACAATGCAGTATAGCAGGTGTGACTTCCCCAGAGCAGCAGAGAGTGGGGAAGGTTGCTGATCTGTGATGTGATGTCTTTGTGTATATGACCACCGTACAAAGCATAACTGAATTTCACAATGTCTTTTTCTAATATCATCATCAGTGACTGTTAGTTTTCTACAGAGAATACAAATATAATCCTTCTTTTTAAGAACTGTTTTTGGGGTGAGGGATGGATGCCCAGTGCCACCATATCTGTATGCTGACTTCTTCAAAGTTTTTCTACAGGTTTAACATTTAGATGAATGAAGGGGACAAAGACACTTCCCCATAACATTCATTTGATTGTCAACATGGGAAAATGCAGGCTCTCCAGCTAACGGTTAGCTCATTTTTACATTCACAAGCAAAGTATCAACTCACCTATTATATGGTCTCTGGCTGATTGGAGAGATCCAGGAGAAAAGAGCTTCAAGCCATATACTGTGTAAATCGAAGGATTTTTGTCTTTAGATCCAGCATCTAGCAGCAAAATAAGGCCACACAAGATACAAAAATATACTGGTCTGCTGTACATTATGATTTGATTGTGTCCCTGGAAAAGACAAGCAAATAAAATATTTCTTAATGTTGCACTTCATCTTCCTATTTATATTCATGACAGTGTCTAAGCACCGCATAAAACTGATAGGGGGCAGAGACCAGGCAGTAAGTATTTTCTATACCATATTCCTGCTCTTCTTCTTGCCTTAGTTTCATTCATATGGGGTCAATTCTTCGAGTCCTTCTTCTCCATTCCACTCTGTCTTGAAGCAGTTCCTCAGAAACTCCACAACTAGTCCATTCCTTTTGTTTGACATCCATTCATCTAGTTTTGGGACTTCCAACTCTACTCTTACCCTCCACTTCTAATTTTAACATCCTGTTTCCTATATATTTTTCCAATCTTCTTTTCACATGCCTAAACCATCTAAGCCTGGATTCCCTCAGCGTTTCTGTAATTGATACCACCTTCACACTTCCCCTAAATTGTTTGTTCTACTAATATAATGCTACAAGTGATTTTATCCACTTCTGAGTAGATTTTCAAAGGCACAAATGGCCCTTACAGAGCAAGATGCCTATCTGCCACTTGTGCCTTTGAAAATCTGCTCTTTCAGACCTTTTAAAAATAATACAGAATTGTACAGAAGTCATTACCATACTCTGAAAAAATCTAGATCTAGCTGAATCTTGCTCTTTAATAGCAAACTTTACATTTACATTTTTCCTTTCAAATGTAAAGCTAATTTTAATCAATGTCTGCTTCATGGATCTTGACCTTTATGGCCAGCATTTATTAAATGAATGATAAAATTACAGTTTTTAATTTATATTATAATTTGCATTATATTAAGACAAGGTAGTTATTGTTATTAAACATAGAAAAGGAGCTTTGTGGATCTCACAGGTATAAAGCTTCAACAGGTATAAAGCTTTAACCTTTCTCCTTTAGAAAATCGTGTGTGTAGATTACAAGTGAAATGAGTTTAAAGGTCTTGATTTAAATGCCATTGGTAGATGCCTGGTCATTACACAAAATGTATACACAGTTTGTCAGAACAAGCAGTTCTAGCTCAGAGAACACCTTCCAGCCCACCCTCTCCAATTCAGAAAGGGTAGGGATGATACAAGGGAAGATTAACCCTTGAGTTCAAATTCGGTTCTCTTTCACCCCTGATGGAGTAGTTTCTACTTCTCCTCTGCCTCTGTTTTGCTTTCTATTGCCACAACTACAGCTGGTTCCCTACTGTAATGTTGTTTTGGCTCTGCACCAGGAATCCTAGTACTGCTGCCCCTGCTGGGCCATATTTCTACATTGGAGAAGACAGGAAGGGATTCCAGACACTTCCAGACTTTCTGGGGTAGACCCAGAAAAGAGACTTAGATTCAACATTGCAATGCCTTTCTTTTACTCACCCTGCTACCTAATAAAGTCTACAGCACCAATTTAGGTTCCCATATTCCCTATACAATGCATGGGGAGAGTTAGGTGTCTAAGAATGGGACCAACAAAAGCTGACACAGTGAGCGGGGAACTGATTAAGCTAACCAATGGGAGATGCCACTGAAAGGAATGAGCCATCACTCCTCTCCACTTCCCCCCCAGCACCCCCTGATGCCACGAAAGCGGTAGGCACTGAGAGTGAGGGGGTGGAGCTGATCAGCAGGACCCGCCGGCGGGCAGGAGGTGCTGGGGGAGGGGAAGTTTCTGGTAGGGGGGCTGGCGGTGGCCACTGCTCGCCTCCTCACCACCACCCCCTGCTCTCCTCCTTGCAGTCTGCCCGCCCGCCTCCTCACTCCCCCTCCCACCTGCCACTCGCCTCCCCGTTCATCTCTTCACCCTGCTTGCCCACCTGTCTCCTGCCTCACCTCCCCGCCCGCATCATCACAATTTGATGGAAGTACAGGGGCCTGCCGGTCTCCCCGATTCGCTGTACCCATGGGAGGTTCTGGGTCCCACTCCTCAAATGGAGTTAGGCACCTCCCTCTGCTCAGGATTTACAGCTGTAGCAGGGTGGTCACCCGCTCCTGCCCTGCAGGGCTTGAAATCAGCCCTGGGAGAGGACAGAGACTGCGAGAGGGCTGCTGTTACGAAAGCAGCAAGCCTCGGCTGATTGGGGAAACAGCCACAGCTGCGGCCACGCCCCAATCAGGCCACAGCTCACCTGTATAAAAAGGCTGGGAGCCAGGGGCTCTAAAAGGCTCTCTCCAGTCTCGGAGGGAGTAGGGCCTGGCTGTCTGAAGAGAAGGTACCGAGGGCGGAGCAGTGCTGGGAAGGGCCACGGAGCTGGGGAGCTCCAGCCTAGCAGAGCCCCAGGCTGCAGGCCGAAGGAAGGGCTCACTAGAGGGTACTAGGGCTGCAGAGGGACGGCTCTGTTATAGGTGGAGGCAGCAGGTCCAAACCCCCCTTGCCTATGATGAGTGGCTTTTACACTGCAGTCTGCCCCAGTGAGCGGGGGCTAGATGGTGACTGGCAGTAGCCTATGACTGAGGCAAGGTAGAGATAGAGGGTTGGGGGTTCTCCTGGGTGGGGAGACCCTGAGACTGAGGGGGTATTGCCAGGGAGCAGCACCCCAAAGACAAGGGGCACTGGGTCCTGGGAGGGACACAGGGGACAGCGGCAGCAGGACACTGGCCCACAGAGGATGCTCCAGAGGCTGGAAGAGCTAATTCCCTGGATGACCAGCAGGAGGCGCCACAGGGGTGAGTCCCACATGCTTACACAGCCATGAACCCTCTCCTGGAGTTAGGCATCTAAGTCGTTTCTGGCACAAAACAATGGAGGAGGAGAAGTTGGTGGTGGTACCCTGATAACGTTTAGCCTAATAGTTACAGTACTCACCCAGCATGTGGGTTATCAAGGTTCAAATTCCCCCTCAGCCTGATGCTGCTGTAACCACTGGGCTAAAGATTACAGAGGGAGCAGGAGCATCACCAGCTATATGGTTTTGTGCCAGGCCCCACCAGTGAGATAAGCAGAGCAATGCCTAGTTTGAGGATTCCACTATAGCTTAAGCATGAGTTAGATGCCTGGGACTTAGATGGCTGTGCACATGCAGAAATGTAGGTGCCATGTGGACTTCATCAGTGGAACCATAGGCACCTAGCGAAGTTAGGTTTTGAAGATTTAAATTTTCAACTTAAGCACCTCAAGTTGCAGTTAGGCAGCTAAATCCCTTTTGGATTTAGCCCTCTGTCCCCTCCAGCTGAAACAATCCTTGATTCAAAGTTATGGGTGGGGCAGCCTATGAGCAGGAAGGAGGAAAGGAAGGCGTGCACCTGGAGTGGGCACAGGGGTGAGTCACTTTCATCTCAATTCCTCCTGCTGCTAGCTCCTCAGGCAAGTTGCTACTTGATGAGGCGACTGGGGGGAGAGGAAGGGAGAAGAGAGAGAGACCTTCAAAAGCATCAGAAAAAGGCAAAGGTAGTGACACGTCTACAGTGAAGCTGGTAGGCAAACTCCCATTAGTCTGGCTCACCCAGCTGCAAAACTCTAGCTGCCTCTGTCCAGTTATCAGAGTATCAGCTGATATGACCCACTCAGAAGACAGCTTCATATTTTTACCTAATCTTACAAACATACATGAGAACCAGGAATCTGTCTGTAAATCAGAGGCTCCTGCCACCTGTATTCTAAGTAACATACAGAAGTGTTTACAATGGGCACCCTTACAACATTTATTTTTACCATTAGCCAAATCCTTAATGGGAATATATTTCCTATATCATTGCCATGATCACCAAGTGAGATGATGCCTTGCACAGCCTGCTTTCATGTCTTATTTCTTTGTTAATGAATTCACACCTCAGTTAAAGTTTTGTCCTGGGAGTCCAACCTCAAGATTGCTCAGCCCAGACCCTAGATCTTCTCAAGAAAGAGAGAATGTCACTTATACCTTGACAGCAGTAACTGGCCACCTATCTGATAGACTTGGCAGAACTCATTCAACCCTTACTCCGCAGGATCAACACCAGCTAACAGGATTGGGTGTTTCAGGCAGACTCTACTAGCCAAACTTTCCCTAATGATCAAAAGTTAAAAGGAAACATTTTTAAAACTGCCTCTGCTTAATACTGTTACAACCTAGTTGGCTCATTACTGAGAAGTTTCCCCCTCACCAAGGCTGAGCTGGAGGGAGAGGATCTAGCCAGCAAAGGGCACTGTCTTGCCCAGTTTAACAACCAGCCAGTTGAGGCGCCATAATTCTTAGAGGACATTAAATTGAAGTGTCTATTAAGTCAGAGGGGATTGGAGCAGCATACAAGTAGAAGCAGGCTGGAGGCAGCACTCGGGGAGCTGGCTGCAGAGGGAAGGCTGGGGAACTGAGAATTGGGACTGCAAGCTGAGGGCTGGGCAGGAAACCTGTGCAGCCTAGTGCTTGGAGCACTGACAGTGCTTGCCTTTGAGCTCACAGTACACAGAGCACCCTACCAGACATCTAGGGGACAAGTGTTCATCACACACCGTAACATCCTGCAGTGTGGTCAGTTACACTACAGAAGTGTGGCTATTTCCACATGCTCTAAACACTGTGGGGCCAAGAAACTGTGATGGAAATTCTAAGGGCAGGCACTCCCAACATTTTCTGAACATCCTTGCTTTTGGTCAGGCCAGAAATACCTTTAAAAACCCTCTTTCAATCCACCTAATCAGTGCTCAAATTACCAGAGGGCTTGTAGGGAAATGGGGCCCCTATTAATGGGCCACCTCTATCTTATGGCCCCCTTACTTCTCACTACTGTTTAAATTAAAACAAACCACTTGACATAGAGGGACCCATTACTTCCCCTCCCCCCAGAATTATCTGGAACTGCACAGAGAACACACAAATGAAAATTCTTTTTTTTTCTTAAAGTATTTTCAGATATTTAAATAATTCAGTTTATCTTCTGGGAGATAGCTGAGTCCATTCTTTTCTTGTATCGGAATGTGATTTGTCCATCACTAAAATACTGTACATTTTCTTAAGGGGCTTCCTGCCAGCTCCTTCAATACCAAGGTCTTTCCTCAGGCCTTAGAAAAATTAAAATCCTGATTCCTTTCACTTTTTC